AGAATGGAAGCCCTGTGTTTTCTCTGTTGCCACATCTTCAACATCTGTCACAGGGCCCAGCACATCACACTACCAATAATGGCAGACTGAAGAGAGACAAGGAGTGAGAAGACTAGGTATGTCACATTTGGCCCCAATCTATAGAACATACTTAGCAGCGGAAGTCCAAAAAGAAACTTGACTCCTGCAGAAGTCTCAATAACCATCCAAGTTGAACCATATCTCCAAAACAAAATTCAGTCTCTGATTCCACCATTTTCTAGGCTTTCTGTACATTCAGACATTACGGGGGATCCTTTCTCTCCCAGTCCACCTGTACCTGACAGGACTGGCCTTTTAGAATCAAGTCCTCTAGGAGTGCTTTTTGTCAACATGCTTGGACTGATGGGCATAAATTCTAGTTTAGCCCCTTCTACAACAGTAGATAGGCATGCACAGAAGGTGCCCACAGTGTGAGCCTTTCTCTGCTCTCAGGAAAGGACAAGGAGGCTGGTGAAAGAAGAGGAGTTTCCATGTCATATCCAGCATGAGAACAGCCCAGCCACCTATTAAGTCTCAGAAATGGCAGCTCTCTTCCCATTGTGTAATAGCGTCAAACAGTTGTCAGCCTGGCATAATCATTTCACCAGGAAAATTTGTTGCGCCAAATAAATAGGCCAAAAGAAGGAATGAACAAGGCACACAAAATATAAAAAAAAGGGGGGGGGCCTTGAATCAAATCAGAAATCTTTCTCTACTGTCCCAAGATCCTGAAGGGGCACTCTGTTCTTGACTCACCCTGACTGACCTTCTCCAAACTTCCTAATGGACTGCAGACCTGCTCATGGCTTGAGTGTCTGCTCCTCTGTGGCTAAAAAATGGAAAAACACAGGATATTTATTTCAGACAACAGAAAAGCAGCCAGAGCCCATAGACTGCTTGTGACTGGCCAATCACAGAGTTTCAGAAGCCAACAGTAAGCCAGCAGAAGAGAAAGCACAGGCCAAATCCACAGCATCTTATTTATTAAGGTGGTACCATCCATCAGCCTGAGTACTGCTGGGTGAGGGGACAAACAAGACTCTCCACGGATGCAGGGACTCTGTGACAGCAGCAGAGCATAGAGTGAGGATGCTACGCCCCTACCTCATTGTGATACTAAACCAGCCACTCTCCCAAAGATTGTTTCACATGAGTAGCATGTAGAAAAATGGCCTCTAAAATATATCGGTGTCTTGGTCCCCTTAGAAAGAAATCATGACTCACAGGGTGGGGCTATGAGAACAAAGGCAAGAGAGTTTGCAGATGTGGTTCATGTGAAGGGTGCTGATATGCAGAAAGTACCCTGGAATATCCAGGTGGACCCAATCTATCACAGGAACCTTTAAAAGTCAAATAGAAGGCTAGAGAAGGGGTGGTTCTCAACATTCCTAATGCGGCAATCCTTTAATACAGTTACTCATGTTGTGGTGACCCCTCAGCCATAAAATTACTTTACTCATTAAATGAATTGTATTATTATGTATGAATTATATTATTCATATAACTTATTCATAACTGTAATTTTGCAAGTTATGAATTTTAATGTAAACATCTGATATGCAGGATATCTGATATGTGACCCCTGTGAAAGGGTTGTTAGACCTCCAAAGGGGTCATGACCCACAGGTTGAGAACCGCTGCGTGAAAAAGGGGCGGGGAAGATAGATTCACTGCTGGTCTGCATGAAGGGAGAAGTGGCTGATAGCCAAAGACTACAGGTCCTGTCAGGAGCAGGGATCAGCCCTCTGTTTACAGCCCAAAAGAAAATGGTGACCTTGGGCCCAAAACCAAAAAGAGTGAATTCTTCCAGCACCTCAAGAAAGGAAATGCTTCTATCCTAGAGCTTCCTAGATCGACCTGATGATATCTGATTTTACTCTTATGACACCCAGACAGATGCTGGCCTATGGAGTTATCTATCACTGAATAAAAGTGTTCAAAGCTGCCAGATTTAAGCCTAATAAACTGGGTTTGGAGGATTTGGGTTGGGGGGGGGGGTGTTTTGCTTTTGCTTTTTACTCATTCTTTACTTTTTTACTTTTTTGTTTATTGTTAGGGGAGAAAGGGAATGTGCATGCCACACCTACAGCACACATGTGTAGGTCAGAGGCAGCTTTAGAGAGTCTGTTCTCTCCTTCCACCGTGGATTCCTAGAATCAAATGCACGGCAAGCGTTTTTTACCAGCTGAACCATCAGCCCCACCCTGTATTCTTTTCTTTTTTTTTTTTTTTTTTAATTTTGTATGTATGTACACAGGTTTGTAAGTGTGCATGCAAGTGTAAACACATGCCAGCAAGCCTCAGGGCCCTGCCAGTCTCCACCTCCCCGGTGTTGGAATCATGAGTATGTACCACCATACCAGACTTTTTCACGTAGATTCTGGGAGTCAAACTCAAGGCCTCATGCTTTCACAACAAATGCTTTACCTATGAACTATCTTCCTAACCCTAAATACGGCAAATTATTAGTGATACACGATTAGGTCCTAAGTAAATTCCTCTTTCTGATTGTACCACAGTTTTGATATCAGTCAAAACCTAGATAGAAAGGAGAAGACAGAGGGTCTGGCCTGCTCTGGAAACTGGCTGTGCGTGCTCCTGCCACTCTACCACCCACACGGTTCTTCCCTATCCCCTGCTCCAGGATGGCCTTTGGTTAAAGAACATTAACAAAAATGCAGGAAAAGAGTGAAATAAAGAAAAAGTATGGATGGAACTGGAGACAATCATATTAAGTGGATTAATCCAATCTCAGAAGGACCAATATCAGGGGCTGGAGAAACAGCTCAGGAGACAAACTTTCTGTTCTTGCAGAGGATCTGAGTTCAGTTCCCAACACCCAGATCAGGCCGCTCAAAACCACCTATAACTCCAGCGCCAAAGTACCCGCATGCATGTGTGCAGACACGTATACAAATGAATAAAAACAAAATATTTGAAAGACAAAAATTGAGTGCTTTCTCTCACTTATGAATACGAGACTTTATACAGCGTATGTGCACATATGGGATGAAAGTAGAAGCAAAAGGAAACAGATGGGAGGAGGGAGGGTCAGGAGAGGAGGGGTTAGGTAAGAACTCAGAAAAGAGAGAAGAACGCACTCACAATACGATGCGCACTTGCGTGAAAATGGCCTACTGGAACCCAATATAAAAATGTCAGCATTTTTTTTACATTTTACAAACGAGATTAAAAAAAAACAAAAACAAAAACAAAGGGTAATCATTTCCAAAGCCCCACGCTATCTTCGAATGTGACAGACAGGGCTTTTGTTTTGCCACTTGTAACATCCTTAACCATACCTTAGAGCAATTCAATAAAGTCTAAGAAATAAAGAGAGAACCCTCAACGCTGAGTTAAGGATTTGGAGCCCTGAGAAGGCGAAGTACAACACGCTGACTAGCAATGTCTGCCTGGGGCAGGGGGCAGGGATAGCAACACACGTTGGACACTTGTCATTACTAATTCTTACTAATTCAGGAAATATAGTTTGGCTTCTCTCTCTTTCTCCCCCTCCCTCTGCTACTCCGTTTACTTGATCTGGTATACTGGGTCACCAGCAAGTCATATCCAGTCAGCCAATCAGAATCCAAATCAACAGATAATGAAGTTATTTCTAGATACAACAAAATTTGTAAGTATATAATTTGAATCAGGCTTGCCATTATCTAATGTGTAGGCAGTTCGAATTCTGATCTGTTTCCTCCTCCTGGCTCCCCTACATTTAGCCTTTAATACCCTGGTCCTTCTTGAGGTTCACCTTCTACCTCCAGAAAGAACTTTTAAGGGGTCTAGAGTCCCCTGTGACCCACAAGTATACTGGCCAATGAATTCTCACTTAACTTCTCCCATGTTATCCTGCAGCTAATGAAAGATTTGATCCCTGTTTTCCATGGCATTTGGAGAAGTTTGAGGGCCAGATGCTGAAGTCAGATGATCTGGTATCAGTATTATTCTGCACGGGGTCACTTCCTGTGTGACTATGGATGACTTATTCTCTCCAGAGCTCACTTTGTTCACCTATTAAATGGAAGCAATAATAGTCCTTCCCTAATAGGATCATAGTAGAGACTAAATTAAAGAATGTGTGTAAGAGCCAAGAATTATGCCTGGATCACAGCAAGTACCAAACAGCATCAAGTAGGATTATTATTCCATCATTCAAAGCATGTGATCAGGCTAGGGTACTGGGCTAGCACAAGATGCAGTGATGCCAGCATTTACTCCTTGTCTTAGTCACTGTTCTTTTGTTGTGAAGAGGCACCATAACCAAGGTGCCTTTCTTTCTCATAAAAGAAAGCCTTTAATTGGGGGCAGCTGGTTTACCATTACAGAGGGTTAGTCCATAGCATGGCAGGACGAATTAGCTGAGAGCTTTACATCCTGATGTGTAGGCAGCAGGCAGACAGGCACTGGCTCTGTCCTTTAGAAACCTCAAAGCCCACCCCAGTGACACACTTCCTCCAACAAGGCCACACCTCTTAATCCTTCTAACCCTTTGCAAATAGTTCCACTCCCTGGTGACTAAGCATTCAAATATATGAGCGCCTATGGGGGCCGTTCTTATTCAAAACACCAAACTCCTATAAAGCATGGGGATGGGGAGCTGATTGGTGTCTGTCTTTATATTGCACTAGAAGTAAGGTCAGTATAATGCCAAGCAAGACAAAGATCTTGTTTCCTTGGAGACATCCACTTCATTTATTTGTTTTAAGTCATACAGAAGAAACAGAATTTAAGATGAGATCAGAGCACAGCCGGGAAAGCACCTGCAGTTGCATTGTCCCCTTACCACCTTGTCATGTCACCCACTGGGGTCCAGCCTCTGACCCAGCCAGAGTTGGTACTTTGCTTCGTGTCTCTGACACCTTGCCACAGCTTTCCACAGAGTTCTCTAGCTACACCAAGGGAAGGAGGGGGAAACCCACAGTCCTGAGGTCAGCTTCAGAGACTCAGCACAGCATAACATGTTACCCTACCGTGTGACTCCAGAATGGCTGGAACAGACAAACCCTTTGCGGCTTCTTCAGTTCTCACCACAGAAGTCTGCAACGGCCTAAAACTCCGCTGGGCTTTCTTGCTGCATGCAGACAGCGGTGAGTGTCTTACACAACCTAAAGAGAACATGCTGTGCTTACCACACACCAACAGGCACCGTCCCATCTACTTCCTTATTTTACAGACGAGGAGGACTGGATACAGAGACGGGAAATGCCCCATTCATAACGCTGCGATTTCCTTGGTCCCCCGGCTAAGTGCTCTTTCCATCCCACCCTAGGGAGGCGGGAGGCGTTCTAGTGCCCCAGACTACTTACCCACTGAGCTGCTCCCGATCACAGCTGATACTCTGGTACTCTCTCCTAGGTGAATGGCAGCAGCTCTACATAGAAGCCTCGGGGGCTTTGAGCAGTTTCCTATTTTCACTCTCTGCCCACAGACCAAAGAACTGCCAGCCACAGGATGCTGCTAGTCAAGGAAAACAGCCACCGGGGCTGCGTAAGAGCCCATCCAGACTGCTCGATCAGAAAACCCCCCGACATTTGCACAGATTTTGATGGTCCACATCTTCCATCCTTTACTCCGTGAACTGTCGGGAGCGCCTACTATCTAACAGGCCCTGTGCCAGGTCCTGGGCGTGCCCCAGAGATGAGAACAGATGGGCTGTCCCTTAACTCAAGGAACTGGAGAGAGGCTGAGGGGTGCAAGGGAACCAGTAACGCAGAAACGAATTAATTTCTAACTGACAGAGCAGATAACCCGGGGGAGAGAGCTTGGAATAAAGGCCCCCTCTCTACGATACTTTCCCCGTGTTTTCATTTGCTTCGAGCCTGAAAAGGATGTTTTCCCCCGTTCCACGGTGACTAAACAGTTCACTGAGACAGATGATGAAGTGACTAGATCCGTCTAGCCTAGTTACCTAGGCTAGAGCCCAGCAATCCTGAGGACAAATTGCCGGCTCCAGATAGTCCAGATTCTGATGACCTGTTGTTTCTGCCCAAACCCTGCGCTGTGCACAGAGGCTGAGCGGGGACGCCTGGCTCAGAGTATGAGGGAGAATGGGAAGGCAGGAGCAGAGCAAAGCCAAGAGAAACCCATCTGCGAGTGGGCCAAGGCTCACCCACCCAAGCCCCGGCCTGCTAAGAGGCCCAAGACTGTGGGCAGAAGGTGGTTGGAACTTAGGGCTGAGAGCGGAGGTAGGGGACAGACGTGAGGAAAAGAAACTCAGAAGTAGCAAAGAAGGAGAGGGCTCCAGGGTAAGGGCAACGCGAGGGCAGGTTGGGAATCCGGGAGAACTGCACTCAGCTGGAGCCCCACAAAAGACACCCTTCAGTCTCACTCACCCCAGATCCGATCCCGATCCCCAATTAGGCTTTTCAAGCAGCAACCGGTGTTTTCCTGGGTCCCTAGGATCGCAGGGGATCCAGCAGCCTCAAGTGACCCCAGCTCTGGAGCTTCAGGCCCCCTAGCGCCGGGGACGTGCTCGGGCTCCAAGCCCGGGAGCGCGCAGGAGCGGCCGGGATGCGTGCTCAGCACTCCGCGCGCCGCCGCCGCCGCCGCCGCCGCCGCGCACGGATGACTCTGGAATGCACCGCCGCTGGGGACCGCCCCGGAAAGACTGAGCCCCCAGCCTCAGCACGTTAGCCTGCCCCGCTCCTCCCAACCTCCCCAGGACTGCTGTAAAGAAAGGAACCTGGAGAGACTCAGAGCTGTGCGGCTCCCCTTGTCACTTTGCACTACACTCAGCCTGTAGCCTTAAACAAGTCACTTCGGTTTTGTTTTGTTTTGTTTTGGGGGTGGGGGGCTTCCGCCCTGTGTGGTAAACAGGGCTATGCTACAGCACTTCCCAAGATCCTTTCCAACAGCAGTTTCGGTGCGGGCGGTAGGTAGAGTGTCCTGAACATAAGATCATTTGTTTGCTTCTCTACCTTGTTAAGCTTGGGATAGTAACACTAGCCCTCTTGTGAAGACAGACTAAAAAGGACCAGTGTGAAGCTAGTTAGTAGCTTGCCATAACACACCTCCATGCATTGTTTATTTTGTGATAACATGAAAGTCCAAGGCGATCAGCACCCCATTAGAATTCAGACCTGAGAGGCTCACCGCTCCCTCTTTGTTAATGACCCACTTTCCACACAGGGCGATGCCAATTCCGCACTCTCCTGTCCCGCTCTAGGATCCTCCGTGATCCAAGGGGTGAAGGAGGGCTTTTTATCCCTTCATCTTTTTGTTTATTTTTGAGACAAGGTCTCTCTACAGAGTCCTGGATATCCTGGAACTCGCTATGTAGAACAGGCTGGCCAGGAATTAACAGGTCCAACTCCCACTGCCTGGGATTAAAGGCGGAAACGACCACCTCAGATTTCCATTCATCTTCTAATGCTATAGAATTTCCTTCCATCTCACTCTTAGGGAAGGTGGGGCACACAGACAGAGGCTGCCAACGCCTTGAAAAGTTGTTTCTTCTTTTTTCTAATGCATATAAGAATCATGCTGACTTGCCCAGGCTGACATTTGATCTAGTGTAAGCCTCGACTTTACACACGCCCGTTTCCTCTGACTCAGATATGAGGTCAGCAGAAATGACAAGTCATTACCAGAAGCTGCAGACCGAGGGCCATGAGGACAAAGGATTAGGATGGAAAGTGACTGGAGGAAAATTCTAAGAGTCATTCTTTGATCAACAGAGAAAATGTGTGGTCCTCAGAACAAGGGCAATCTAATTCCAAGTGCTATAGGGGATCATAACGAAGAACGTTTCCTTATTACTGGAACAGGATGTGGGGAATGAATCCTTCAAGTGGGCAACCGGTAACATGACTGTTGGCTTCACTATTGAGACAACGCAAGACCTGGGGCTGGAGCCAGCAATCTGCTGGTGTCTTTTCCATTTAGCGGGGCATCAGGATCTTTAATATTTGTTTTCTCTAAGACCCAAACAGGAGGCCAAAAAAGAAAAAGTCTTGAATTTTCTACGAGAAGCATACTAATATTGTCTGTTGTCCAGCTGGACTAATCTTGAATCATAGCTACATAACACTTTGTCTTTTCTCTTATACACACAAGAATATTCAATTGTGGGGACAGTGTGGTATATTGGATTGGAAATTAGAAAACTCAATTTCTGAGTATGTCACTCATTAGCTAAAGAATCATAAATGCCTTGCTTCAACTGTAAAGTAGTAAAGTGGGGCTGGAGAGATGGCTCAGTGGTTAAGAGCACTATCTGCTCTTCCAAAGGTCATGAGTTCAATTCCCGATGACCATATGGTGGCTCACAACTATCTATAATGTGATGTAAATGTAGATAGAACCCTCATATACATAAAATAAATAAATCTTTTTTAAAAAAGTAATAAAGTGGGAACTACCCATCCTGTCTGATACAATTATGAATTAAGATTCCATTCATATGTCTATTTAAAACTCTTCATTGATTATCTCTACATTCTAGGCATCTTGCTAACACCTGAGAAATAGTTTAAATATGATCTCCACAATGAAATACTGCCCATCAATCTGTGACATCACCTTATTTTATGTTTTGTGGTTTCACAAACTGATATCTCATTTATTTCTTTTTTACTATCTATCCTTTGTTTCACATTGTGAATGCCAATCCCACTCATCCTTTTTGTATTCCTCCCCATCCTTTTGTAGTCACTGTTCTTGCAACCTCCTTGCTAAAACAAAATAAAAAATAAAAATTTTTTAAAATCTCACTGTGGAAGCTGTAGTGTGTCACAGTGTGTCCCACAGACATTCTTTTGTCCATATATCTTTATTTGCAAACATACACTGCAATGCGTCATTGGTCTGGTTCGAGGCCTCTGGCTTCTGCTACACTATCTATACTGGATCCTCACTGGGTCTCTGCTTGGATATCACTATTGCCCTGAGTCATGGAGATCCTGCAGCTCTTCCTCTGTAGAACCAGTCCCTTCATGGACTCCAGCCATTACCAGATGGGGTATATTGGGATGGGCCAACTCAAAGCCCTGGATCTGGGCCTGGGTGGTAGCTGATCTGGACAGCCTGCCATTTCTCCTGCACCCATGTCATCAGGGCAAGCTCTGTCCCAATTAGCTCATCCAATGTCACAATTGGCAAAGGGGCAGGACCAGCTCTTCTGAGCTCACACTTTTGGAGGCAGCTAATCCATGTCCCTGCCATCAGGGACAGCTCTACTGTGCTGGCCAGCCAAGGTGCAAGGCTCACTCTCCCAAGTGCTGCAAGTAGAGAGGGGTGGGGCCAGCTCTGTGCAGCCCTTGGACATCAACATAGTCCCAGGTGACTGCCCAGACCAAGGAAATCCAAATAGCCTTTGGTAGTAATATGAGCCACGGACGTCAACGCAGACCCTGCTGCTGCATGGCATGGCCCTTAGCGACAACACGGGGAACAACACGGGGCCAGACATCACCTTTGACTCAGGTGCCAGGGCAGTCTTCTCACATCAGGTTATTCTCCATCCTCAAGTCTCGGATCCCACCTCTCCTCTTAGTGTTCAGACCATCCTGCTTCTTTTTCTCCCCCATCTCTCCATCACATCCTCGTACACCATTGTGCCTCCCACTGGAGGTGGGTCAACATGCCTGGCAGGCCTCTGGGTGTCTCCCACCAGCCTGGCTTGGCCACCCATTTATTTCTTAGGAAGCTAGAATACAAAAACACTGCTCAGCAAGCATAGCACATGCGTGCACACAGACACACTGACACATCTTTGTTTCTTGTTTTTGTATGCGTGAGAATGGAAGACCCTTTGGGTTTTATCGATGTGGCTCTTCCATACCTTATAAATTGCAGAAAAGACATGTCACCATAGGATTTTATTACAGTTGCTTTTAACTTTTGCTGGCTAGTTGAATGGTTCCATACTTTATACTCATTGCTTGTCTAGAGTTACCTCTGTGAAATAGGAAATAAGAGCTGGAAACACTGGTTAAAAGCTGTCCTTCACATGGATTATTAAGCCATACTAAGAACTGGAACATGAATATTACATTTGTAAATATGATGAATATGGTTTATCAATTAAATATGTGTAATTTTGTCTGTGAATATGCCAGAAGGTGAATGATAAGTAAAAGACAAAACCTACTGGGAGGCTTATAGAAGCTTGAGAAAAAGAAAATTCTGTTTACATTGATTACATTGGCCCTGCAGATAATGAATCTGAAATGAAATATGTTAGTATTTATACTCAGTAGCCTTATACAAATTTTTAGTTGGGCCTAGTGGTGCACATCTTTAATATCAGCAGAGGTAAGCGATCTCTGTGAGTTCAACAGCATCCTGGTCTACACAATGAGTTCCCAGAGAGCCAGGGCTACATAGAAAGACCCTGTCTCAAAAATTAATTAAGTAATTAATTAAAGGAAATGAATTCTTTATTGTCAATTTCTATATTAATATAAGAGTAGGAATTTTTTTCTCTGTATTAAAATGACCAAACTTGGCATGGTAATTGATGCCCTATAATCTTAGCACTCAGGAAGTTGAGGTAGGAGGAGTGCCAAGAGTTGGGTGCCAGCCTGGGTTACTAGTCAGGTCCAGGAAGCCTGGACTATAGAGTGAGACTCTGTCCCCAAAATATAAAAAAATTAAGAAAGGAATAAAAAAGGAGAAATTGGTCTTGTGATATTCATTTTGTTGTTAACAAGAGATGGCAAAGACTATTCTTTAAATTCGGTGTAATCTGATCAAATAGAAATAAATTTGTGGTCTTGATTCTGACTTTGTCATGCCTTTGTTTATTTAAAACAAACAAACAACAACAAAAACCTTTCCAGGTCCCTCATTTTTGAAATAATTGAAATTCTTATAATTACCCCCTCAGTTACAGTTATCCAGTAATAGTGCATCATTAGTCTTGTTAATAGTTAACATAGATACAACCATTCGTTGTTTCTGGGCATCTATGTTTCTGTCTCATGGCGGTGACTGTCCTTTTCTGAAAACTATTTTATGCTGCCTTGCCAAGATCAGTTCCTGGCTAGAGGTATTGTTTGGTGGCAGAGCACTTGCCTAGCATGCAAGTTGCCCTGGATTCTATCCAAATACTACAAAAAATAAAAAATAAAAATAACCCTCAATGCCCAAGATCAGTTCCAGAATTTAGAAAGACGTAATTGTGAATGTGTTTTTATATGACAGCTATTTTGGGACCTTCCTTCCTGGATAGAGAAATTACTAAGGGCTTGGTATTTTGGCCTCTACCATATAATGTATAACTCACAAGCAGCAGAGATGCTGGAATTAATCAATTATGTTTGAATGTTCCATATTGATTAGCTTAATAAAACCAGAATGGCATTATATATTAATTACATAAAATGTAACAAGCCACCCAAGTAAAGAAGTAAATATGTTCTCTCTTATGTTACTTTTGTATATGTGTATGTAGTAGAGACTGAACCCAGGACCTCACACGTGCTAGGCAACTATTCTAGTACTAAGCTACATATCCTGGACCCCTTTGTTACTCTTTGAAGTCAATTTATCATTGTCCCCACGTCTGTAGTTTGTTCTTACTTATCCTTGAGGAAA